GCCCTTGGATGCCTCATATAGAGGTTTGGCCATTAGACTGAAGTTAGATACCCAAGCCCTGAGGTAGCCTGCCAGACCGAGAAAGGAAAGAATTTCAGCCTTGGTGGTGGGGGTAGGGAGAGAAACCAATAAGGCCTTAGGATCTGTGGTGATAGCCTTATGAGTAGGGAAGATAGACAGGCCTAGGTAAGTTACCTGGGTGAGAGACAGTTGAGCCTTGTTAGGGGATACCTGGTATCCCTTTTTTCCCAGAAAATTGAGCAGGAGGGCAGTGTGTTGTTGGCTATCCTTGAGTGAGGGGCTGCAGAGCAGGAGATCATCTACATAATGGAGGAGTTTACTCAGGGAGAGATGAGGCGTAAGGAGGTCCCTAGCCAGAGATTGGCCAAAAAGGTGGGAACTGTCCCGGAACCCCTGAGGCAGAACAGTCCAGGTCAATTGTTGGGAAGTATGAGAATCTGGATCAGTCCAGGTGAAGGCAAAGAGATTTTGGGACCGTGGGTGAACAGGGATAGTGAAGAAAGCATCTTTTAGGTCCAGGACTGTGAAATGGGTGGTGGTACTGGGGATGAGAGACAGGAGAGTGTAGGGGTTAGGTACCACCAGTGTATAGGAGTCACTGCCGTGTTGATTAAGTAGAGGTCCTGCACCAGCCAGTAAGACCCATTGGGCTTTTTTATAGGCAGAATAGGAGTGTTATAGGGGTAGTGAGTTGGGTGAAGCAGGCCCTTAGTGAGAAGCTCTGAGATGATAGGCTTTAGCCCCTATAGGTGGGTTAGAGAGATGTGATATTGAGATTGATTTGGGAAAGTAGAAGGATCTTTGAGAGTGATGACAACTGGCTCATGTGAGGCAATGGAGGGGTTTTTGAGATCCCATACAATGGGGTCCACTAATGTTGCCGGTAGGGGCAAGGAGTTGGGAGAAGCTTGTGGAAGCAAGACACCTATGATGGTGAGGCAGATGGTGAGGATGGAGACGAGGGGTTGGTGGGCTGCGGCTTTTGTGGAGATGGATGTAAGGTGAGGGTGGCCTGAAACTTTGTCAGAATGTCTCTACCTAAGAGTGGAGTGGGACAATTAGGTAGCACTAGGAAGGAATGGGTAGAGTGTATTTCCCAGTATGCAAGTTAAGGGAAAGGTCATTAAGGGCTGGGTGGGAGTTCCCTCCACCCCGACTATGGAGGTTGAAGAAGGCTTGGTAGGTCCCCAGAACTCCGGCAAGGCAGAAAAAGTGGCACCAGTGTCTAAGAGGAGAGAGATAGGCCTACAGTCAATGATGACTGTTACCCTGTGCTCCCGTGAAGTTATGGTCATCGGGCCTGGGAGTACTGGGCTCTGTCAGTCTTCTGCCGCAGTTGCCAGTCCTAGAAAATCAGGGAGGAGGAATGTTGAGGGGGTCTAGACCCCCCACCTCGAGAGGTGGAGGGGCAGTCCCTCGCCCAGTGGCTCCCTGTTTGCACTTAGGACATGGTCCTGGTGGGCGGTGTATCTTAGGACAGGCATGGGCCCAGTGTCCCTCAAGGCTACACTGAAAACATGGGCCCGGAGGCATTCAGGATTTTCCCTGGCCTTGTGAGTTGGGAGCCTGGGGGGGTTTGCTGGAGGGCTTGGGCCAACATCTGGAATTTGGTCTTATCTCTTCTCTCCTTATCAGCCCGTTGCTGTTCCTCATGGTAATTATAAACCTTAAAAGCCACATTTAAAATTTCAGCCTGTGGAGTCTGAGGGCCATTTTCCAGCCTTTTAAGTTTTTTTCTTATATCTGGGGCTGACTGGGAGATAAAGTGGGTCATAAGGATAACTGTCCCATCCTTAGTTGCAGGGTCAACTTTTGTGTGGCATCGTAATGGCTCTGTAAGTCGGGACAAGAAACTGGCTGGATTTTCTTTTTCCTCTTGTTGAACTTCTCTGAGTTTGTCAAAATTAGCAACCTCTTGGGCAGCCCTCTTTAACCCTGCTGCTAGGCAGGGGACCATCTGGCCCCTGGAAGTTAGGTCATTAGCTTGATAGTCCCAATGGGGTTCTGCCTCTGGAACTGCCAACGTTCCCACAGGGTGGGGGCAGGGATGGTGAGGTGAATCTCATCTGCATGTGTCTTAGCCATGTCCCAGACCCTTCGTCTCTCCTCTGGGAGGAGGGGTGAGGAGAGGATGGTATAAATGTCATGCCAGGTGAGGCTATAGGATTGAGCCAAATATTGAAATTCTTTAATATAAGAGTCAGGGTCAGTGGTGTAGGAACCAAGGCATTTTTCAATCTGAGACAGGTCTGTGAGAGAAAAGGGAACATGAACTCGCATGATACCCTCAGTGCTAGCCACATCCCAGAGAGGGTAGGGGGAAACCGGCTGGCTGGGGGGGCCATGAGAGTGAATGTGGGGGGGGCTCAGGGGATCCTGTAGTTTTGGATTTGGATTGGTGGGAGGGCAAGTGGAAGGGGGAGCAGAAGGAGGAGGGGAGGAAGGGGTGAAAGGAGAGGCAGGGGAAGTGGCAAGAGGAGCAGCGGGAGGAGGACCTGGCTGCTGAACAATGGAGGCTCGCGTCTGATAAGGTGGAAGCTCATTAGCAGGATTGAAGGAAGGGAAAGCATCAGGGTTAGGGAGGGTAGTTGGGGTTTTTGTAGCCAGAAGGACTTGGGCAGGGGAGCAAGAGGTGCAGAGAGAAGGTTTAGAGCGGAGATAAGAAAATGCTAGGACACAGGGAATTTCCTTTAATTTTCCAGTGCGTTCACAGAAGTTACAGAGATCCCTGAGAATGTTAGGTCTGAGTGTGCCATCTGGTGTCCATTTAGAGTTATTGTCCAATTGGTATTGTGGCCAAGCCTGATTGGAAAGAAAAATGAGGTTTTTTGCCTTTAGATCAGGGGAGAGCCATAGGGGCTTGAGGTTGGCCAACAGACAGCCCAGAGGGGTGTCTGAGGGAATTTTGGAAGGTCCATTGCCCATGGTAAGACCCGATCCGAGGAGAATATGGCAGGCATCCCCGAGATACTGCTTTCCTGGACGAAACAGGAGTGGAGGACCTCAAGGGAACGTCTTCACCGAGAGGATCGTCCATGCCACAGGAACCCAGTTCTTGAGGCAAGTGAGCCAGGACCTAGTACTAGGGTTTTCAACCAACTGAGAGAGAGGGAGGTAAGGAATGGTGGGCTTTGTTTTGCAAGGAGTGAAACCAGCTGTGATTTAGGCTGCAGAAGAGGCAGTTCTCATCCCTCTTCTCTCCCATTTTATACTTCTCTCAATAAACTCTCTCTAAAAAAAATAAATAAATTTGAAAATAAACTTTCCCGCTCTATACTTAAGAAGCACATGAGGCTTACCTCATTCCTTTTAGTGATTTTTCTGATTTGGGATATTCCCTAATTTAACCCAATCTGTATTAACGAATATCGAAAGCATTTGCATTAAGAGAAAACCAGAAATGAGACAGTAATGAACATTTTTGTGTGTTCATTTTGTCACTTATCTAAATATAGCTGCCTGTAGAATATAACAGGTGTAATTGCTAAGCCAAAAGTCACACCGAGTTTCAGTTTTGATATAATGTCACACTGCCCTGGAGGTTATACAAATTTGCATTCTCATCAACAAGGCTGTGGGAGTTAAATTGGTCACTTAAACCTTTGTGGTTAAAGTATAGTTCATTACTTAAGCCAAATTTATCCTTTTTTTTTTTTTCACATGGAGATCCATGCTGGGTCACCCATACCACCCCAGCCCCCATTTTAGCATTAGTTATGTTCACAATGGTACACAACCATCATCGTATCTGCTTCCAAGTCAAATCTTTTTTTTTTTTTTTTGGCTGTACTAGGATTTTGATCTCAGGGCCATGCTCTTGCTAGGCGGAGCGCTACAGCTTCAGCCATACCCCTCAACCCTTTTTGCTTTAGTTGTTTTGGGGATAGGGTTTCCTGTGTTTGCCCAGGCTGACCCCTGGACCATGGTCCTGCTATTTTCTGCTTTCCGCTGCAGCTGGTATGGCAAGTGAGCACAAGCACTATGCCCAGCTTTTTTGCCTGGAGAACTTTTTTTTTTTTGGTCTGGGCTGGCCTCCAACCACAATTCTCCCGATCTCAGTCTCCCCATTTTCAGTCACCTCTGAAAATCGTTTTTTTTTTTTTTGAATTGTAGTAAAATAATACAACACAGAATGTATCATTTCACTCATTTTTAAGGATACAGTTCAGTAGCATTAAGTACATTCGTATTGTTTCACAACCATCACTTCCATCAGTCTTCAGAACTTTCTCTTTTCCCAAATTGAAACTGCATCCTTGCCTCCCTCTGACTCCTGGCAGCTACCATCTCTTCTGTCTCCAAAAATCTGACTACTATAGGTATCCACATGTGTTTTCTTTTATCAAAAATTGCTTTGTTCTTTTTGTTTTGTTTTTAGTACTAGGGTTTGAACTTAGAACCCTATACTTGTACTCTACCACTTGAGTTCAAAAATTGCTATAGAGCCGGGCGCTGGAGGCTCACACCTGTAATTCTAACTACTTGGGAGGCAGAGATCAGGAAGATCTTGGATGGAAACCAGCCCTGGCAAATAGTTCTTGAGACCCTATTTTGAAAAAATCCTTTACAAAAAAGGGCTGGTGGAGTGGGTCAAGTGGTAGAGCAGCTGCCTAGCAAGTGTGAAGCCTGAGTTCAAACCTTAATGCTGCCAAAAAAAAAAAAAAATATATATATATATATATATATATATATATATATATATATTTGCTTTGGTGGAAGGATTTTTTCATAGGACAAGTTGCTAAAATAAACATGGGAACTCTGAGGAGCGGCAGGAGTCACTCACTCTGTATTTCTCTCTGCTCCACTGTTTATGACGCATGTTGTCACAGTGCAAGCAGACACCTGTGGTATCGCCCAGTGGTGTACTCTAAGTAGATTGGTGAATTTAAGAAAGCAGAATAAATAGGCTGTGCCAAGACCTAAAGGCACCAAGGTCTTTGCACTTGGATTGACTCATTGTATCGGTTATTCCACAGGAGCATGACATCTTCCAATAACAGACCCCGAGAAGACAGTTGGCTAAAATCCTTATTTGTCAGGAAGGTGGATCCCAGGAAAGATGCTCACTCGAATCTCCTGGCCAAGAGGGAAACAAGCAGTCTGTACAAACTGCAGTGTGAGTAATCACTTTGTACCACCACAGTGACTTTCTTTGCTCATAAACTTATTGTTGGATTTCTTTTGTTTCAGTTCACAATGTTAAACCAGAATGCCTAGACTCATACAACAAAATCTGGTGCGTATACCAACTATCCTTTCCTTGGGGAAAAATAATGCTTTTAATATTTGTCAGTTCAGCTAACACTTGATAGCAGAGTCTTAAGATCCTTTATCTCCTCAAGGCTTTGCACTTGAACCATGCCCCCAGCCCTTTTTGCTTAGTTACTTTTTCAGATAGGGTCTTGTGTTTTTGCCCAGGGCTGGCCTTGGATAGGAGGCCTCGCATCCTATCTGGAATTACAGGTATGTGCCAGCATACCCAGCTTACTTGTTGAAATGGGGGTCTCACTAACTTTTTCCCCTGAGCTAGCCTCCAACCTCAATCCTCCCAACCTCCACTTCCCAAGTAAGTAAGATTATAGGCATGTGCCAACATGCCCAGCCTATTCAGAGGCTCTTAATCTGAGTTCTGTGTGGATTGCCAATGGCATTTTGATTTTAAGTTACTCACACAGTAACTCATCACATAGTCTTATCATACTTTAGAATGTTCCTATATTTCTAAGGTTGGAAAGAACTTTGTAAGGCAGTCTAATCCATCTACTCGTCCACTGCTTGTGTCTTTTCTGCAGACCTTCCTGACTGCTTGTGCTTAAGTACATTCTATCCCTGGACAGCTCTGAGTGTTCGGAATTAGAACTTATGTCCCCTTGACCTCCATTGTTTCCAGTTTTCCTTCTAAGTAAAGCTGCCACGTGAAAGTCCTTTGTGGAGCTGGGCATGGTCGTGCCCACATGTAATCCCAGATTTTGGAGGCTGAGGCCAGAAGATTGTCAGCTTGAGGCCAGCCTGGGCTGCATAGTTAGACCCTGTCTCAAAAAAATGAAAACAAACAAAACAAAAAACCATCCCATATATGCTTACACAACTGCTGTGTCTTCCCATGCCTTTCCCTTCTCAGAATCCCAGTCCCCTGAGCTGGTTGTCATATGATGAAGACCCACACCCCTGATAAAATTTGTGAATTTCAAGACTAAAGAGAAAATTTAGTTCATCAGTTCTTAACTAACAAGAGTAGAATTTTAACAATCAGTTGTAAGCAAATATAAGTATTTTTTGCCTTTTATTATCTGCTGCTTCCTTGAGAAAGCAAATGATTTTGTCTTCCAAAATCAGCGAAGTTTTCAGAAGCAAAAGTTTTATCATCTCATTTTTGGAGGTGTTTGGTAGAATGCAACATTAGCATAGATTTCAGCATGTTCCTTTTATTTAAAAGTTCCTTGAACCAGAGTAGATGTTTATTCCTAAGTCTTTTCTCATAACATGAGAGGTTTTCTGTGTGCTGTGTCTCCCTGGATTCTTTCTTGTCCTGTTGTAATCACTTCAGCTCCATCTGGGATTTCTGGCTGACTGTCCATTTTCGTATCAGACACCCTGCTTTCACTTCAGATTCAGCCTACAGTCGCCTTGCTCCCCAGCTTCCCTGTCTGTGCCGCCTTATCCCGTCCTCAGTTCCTGTGACTAGTCAGTCTCAGATGCGCTGTTCATTCTCTGCTTGTTTCCTTCTCCATCTTCCTCAGAGCCTGTTAAGTTCAAGCCTTTCTGGACTTGAAGTTGTCCCTTGCCTAAACCTCACCCCACAGTCCATCTCCCAGTTATATCAGGTTGATCCACGTGGCTCTGCTTTCTCCCTCATCATGTCTTTTTCTTTTTTCTGAAATGCTCAGCAGCTCCCTGTTTCCAAAACATAAAGTTCTGGAAGAGCCTCGTTTTTAGGGACCCCTATAATGAGATTTTGCCCAACCCATCCATTTCTGGTCACAAGTACTGCCTACCTTACAACCTCCATACAGGTAAGGCCAGGGCTGGCAAGAGCAGGTATAGGGCCCCAGCAAAGAGGTTTGAGTACAAATCCTCCATATGTGACTGCTCAGGCCCCATGGCCTCTCTGCACCCCACCTGGGACACTGGCATGGACTTCCTTCTGCTGCATTGACTCAGCTATTTGCTTCCTGCTCACTCATGCCAAAAAAGAAACCCGTGTTCATTTGCCTGACATGATCCATCCTTCCTATTCCTGATTTTCATCAGTCCCATTATTTCTGAGCATTCATGATTATACATCACATACATTTAATACCAAATCATAATTTAAAAGTAAATATCACCCTTCAAAAACCACACATGCTGTAGCCATTGTCCTGGGTCATGAGAGCACCTGGATTTCGTTTAGGTCAGCTCTAGGCCGTTGGAGCTTTCCTCTGCTCACCATTCTTACCCAGCTGGCCCTGTGCCCAGCGTTGGTGCTGATCTCAGCTTCATATGATGCATCATCAGCAAATAACTTGCACAGGTTCCATTTCTGACCTTGATACTCTTCCATCCATTGTGCAGTTTGCACTGCATTTCTCATAATTTTTCTACTCAAAGGTTCAGGTTTGACTGGAGAGGTAGCTCAGTGGTAGAGCACTCACCTAGCATGCAAGGCCTTGGGTTCAAGCCCCAGCACTGCAAAGAAAAAAAATGTGCTGGTTTGGGCTTTTCTCGTGGTGTTAAACCCTTGTGGCTATGCCCTGCCTTTCCCTGTACATTACCACTGCATCATAGGAAGCTTTCCGTGGAGCTCAGCTCTGAATGACACCTCGGTTAAATCAGTGCATGGCTGTGACCTGCTGTGTACAGTCAGTGGTGACAAACTGGTGGGTGTGAATTCAGTGTGAGACTGAGAGACCTCTGGAGTCTCCTGGTTAGGTGGGGTAGAACCTGATTTATGCCTTGCGTATGACGTTAATTCTGATTCTTCCGCACGGATTATGCCGTGTTGACGCTGCTGGGGACTATTGGAGATTGGGGCTGCTCCGACTGAGTCATGTGCTGACCTGGGGCCTGCTTGCTCTCTGCTCCTGCCACCTCCACCTGCTCTGCAGCTTGTGTGCTCTACTTTTGTCTTAAATACTGCTTTCCTGCCTTTCTGTTCTCTCCCATATTCCTCTCTCCTGTTCCCATGTCTCATTCTTATTTCTGGAGCAGGCAGATCCAGCTTTTGTGCACATCACATTTGTAAATAGTTCCTTTTGTCTTCTTTTCCTGAAACGGCAAGTGATGGACCTATAGCTCTGCACTCGGGCCTCTGACTTGCTTTATCATTGTTGTCACTATACATGAGTTGCCGACAGCTCCTGTGCACAGTTGGGGTTAAAAGCTCCCTTATGAAAAGCGAGGTGCTAGTGCCTAACAATTCAGCTTCAGGTTCCTCTGGATACTTTTATCACAAATGTGTTCTGGGTGAGTCATTCTGAGAACTGAGTAGGTCTCCTTCCTGTTACTGGGTATGTGCTGCACACAGGTAAATTTCACCCTAATTTTAGTTTTGCTATTTCTTTTTCTTTAAGCCAAGAGGTACTACCAAAGATTCATGAAGACAAGCATTACCCTTGCACCTTGGTGGGGACGTGGAACACGTGGTATGGCGAGCAGGATCAAGCTGGTAGGAAGCAGAAACCTTGGGAGCCAATGCTTTTTCCCTTAAGCCTTCTTATAACTTTTTAATTGAGGCATGTTTTTATAATCAAAGCTTTCCATGTCTCAGTCTGGTTTTATAGCTAAGGTAGTTTCTTCAATAATTCACTACAAAAAGTGCTTTTTTATTGTCTTTAATGTTTGACTCTATTGTTGAAACTTCATGATGTAATCATGGGCCAATACATGGCACACTGCAGTTTTTTACCACATTCATGTCATGTGTATCTCGAATATTTTCAAGGTAAGAGGATCACGAAACTCTAAACATGTGTTGTCTTTTAAAATACATTTCAGTCCACCTATGGAGGTACGAAGGAGGCTACCCAGCCCTCACTGAGGTCATGAGTAAGCTCAGAGAAAATCAGGTAATGACTTGGAAAAAATGTGTACTTACTTGGAGATGTTAGTACAGAATTAAGTGACTCTTCTGTCCCCAGTTTTCCCTAGTGAACCATTCAGTTTTTGTAGGACCAATTTTCTCATTTGAACTCTTAAAGTTACCAGTTGTAATACTATTAAAATACCAGTTCTTGTCTTAAAACTCCAACTGTACTTTGAAAGTAACAAGAGTAGATGTAGACACCATTAGCTCTGCTTTACCTGAGGCACCACGTGTCTACTTGAAGAACTGCCAGCCACAGACATGTTTTTTTACCTTGACTGGCTTTGCTATCCTCCCCCTCCATGCACTAATGGGTACTTGGTGCTTGGTAGTAGACATTTTTCCCCTCATCGTGCTGCTGATGAAACCCAGGGTCTTGCACATGCTAGGCAAGTGCTACACTCCCAGTCAGTGAAGAGAATTTCAATAGTCGCATATCATTAAGTTCCCAGACAAAGTCAGAGAATGCTTGTTATCGTTGTAGCCGTTCAGCAGATGTAAACCAGATTGTCTCAGGCCACCCTGTTTATTACTCTATCTATACTAGTACTTTGTGGGGACATAATTGTTACTAAACTACATAACAATTTTTATATAAGCATTAGAAGATTTCAGGAGCACACTTTTCTTGCCCACAGGAATTTGTGAATTTCCGTAAGGCAAGAAGCAACATGCTTCTCTCCAGGAGGAACCAGCTGCTATTGGAGTTCAGTTTCTGGAATGAGCCTGTCCCAAGGTCGGGGCCTAACATTTATGAGCTCAGGTCTTACCAGCTCCGAGTAAGTATGGAGATGCGGCCTGACCTGCCAGGCTCGTGAAAAAGCACAGATGCTCTTGTGACCAACAGCACATTCTGTCACGCAGGCTTAGCGTTCTCCTTTGACTTTTCTCCCTGTCCAAGTCCTGCTCCTGCTTTCTTTTTTTTTCTTTCTTATTACTTCTCTCCTGCTAAGCTTTTTTTTTATATTCTTATGTATGTTTACTGCTTGATTTTTTTTTCCCAAATAACATTTTTTGTTTTTAAAAGGTAAGACCTCAAGTGCAGGACTAGATACAATGTATACCTTGTACTCTAGCTGAACTGAATCAACTAATAAGCATTCTGCCTGTTAAACAAACCATACAGAACTTGGAGAGTAAAAGGGGAATAACAAACCGGGCACCAGGTGCTAACATCTGTAATCCCAGCTACTCAGGAGGCAGAGATCAGGGGAATCATGGTTCAAAGCCATCCCAGGCAAATAGTTCCATGAGACCCTATCTCAAAAAAAATTTATCACAAAAAAGTGTCTCAAGGTAAAGTCCCCGATTTCAAGCCCCAGTACCACAAAAAAAAAAAAAAAAAATTTATAACCGTTTCTAGATGTTTCCCTACTGAATACTAAAAAGAATGATCACAATAGAGCTGTACCTATTAGCCATCCTCTCTTCATATTCCACCCTTCCGCCCACCCTTCCTAGCCCCAGGAACAGCACTGTTAGACTAAGTAGAGCCAAGTCTCTAGTGATCAGTCACCTTGCAGTGGAGAAAATGAAGTGCGCGCCAATTCGTCTGTAGTGCATCTAGCTCTGCCTGTGATGACCGTGAATGATGGATGTCTTGTTCTTACTTTATGCGTGTGTTGTCTTTCGTAGAACCATGAAGGCTCACTCCACTGGGGAATGGGAGCAAATGAATAGTCATACTTGTACTCTTACTTCTGTCTTTCACTGAAGGACTAACCAAAATCTAAATCTCTCTTTAGCCAGGAACCATGATTGAGTGGGGCAATTACTGGTGAGTATATTGATACGGAGTTTGTAAGCCTTATTAATAGATTATTGTAAGCCACAGAGTTAATTCTCACAAAAAAAATCTGAGAATAATGCCTTGACTTGATACTAGGCTTTTTCTTTTCTTTACTATTTTTTTAATATGGTGTCTCACTATGTTGTCAGGCTGGTCTTGAACCCCTGAGCTCAAACACTGTCTTGCCTCAGCCTCCTAAGTAGCTGGGACCACAGGCTACATCAGACTGTTGTTCTTTTTGATGTTTTTATTATGAAATTGTTCAAACATGTGGAAAATGTGCAGAGGATCCCCACTTCCATGCCTGTTCCTGAGCCTCAGTAATTATCAGCACAAGCCAGGTAGTGGCTGAGATTGGGAGGATCACAATTTGAGGCAAGTCCAAGCAAATATTTTGTGAGACCCACATTTCCAAAATAACTATAACAAGCCGGGTACCAGTGGCTCACGCCTGTAATCCTAGTTACTCAGGAGGCAGAGATCAGGATGATTGTGGTTTGAAGCCAGCCTGGACAAACAGCTTGAAACACCCTATCTTGACAATACCAAACACAAAAAAGGGCTGGTAGAGTGGCTCCAGTGGCAGAGCACCTGCCTGGCAAACACAAA